GTATGTGTATAGAACTACGGTAAACACTGATTATCAAAAATCCTTACTCTATTGAACTATGTTCTTTGACTTATTAAGTCATTACAACTAAAATGTTTATTTTATTTTGTTGCTTTATTTAGTGTTTGTATTATCTCAAAAGCGGTCGAGAGTAAGAACTATATTTTTGCACGTAACTTTAAAATGGCGACTATGGGGTCAACATCCTGCCTTGAACAGGATCCCATAAGCCAGCAATTGCTCTTTGAGCAATAAGCCCGGCTAAAAATGAAAGTGAATTTGAGAACGGTACCGAATTTTGAAGTCAAATTTAAAAGTTCTTATCTGATTCGCTATGATAAACTGTAATTCATTGCATAAATGTTCAGGAAACATGCAGATGTTTTCATCCAAGAAATATCAGATTCGTCTCGAGCAAGGCCCTTGGGGAATGTGATTTTTCTTGCCTAAATAAAACATCATATTTCCCTCATGGTCAAATATAATAAATGTATATTCCAACACAAATGGGGTATTCATGAGAGATTTCATCACTTTTAATTGTCAAACGTCTATATTTAGACAAGAAATAATAAATAGTGTTTCGTAATATAAGACAAATTTCCCCATTTACTCGCTTGAAGATTTTTCTCCTAATACATGTAATAATATATTTATTGAGTATGTGATCAACAAGAATGAATAAAAATTGATAGTAATATATGACATTCATGATCTTTGAATTGAAGCTTTACTAGTATATTAATTATATCGAATCAAAGAAATTGAAGCTTTTATGTTCATTTTGATAAAATTCTAAAAACAAATGTAATAATGTTAGTGGAATTAATGAAGGATTGAACCTTTCTTCTAAAATTCACACAAACCCTTTTAGAAAAAAAAATATTGTCCAATAACACATTGTGGAAAAACAAATTTGGCCTCATATAATTGATGTTTAAACAATGGTAAGCCTGTCGATATCCATCTGTTCTGACACATTTATCTATGTCGTGCTTGATTCAATTTTTTTCAAAATAGTCATATATTCACTGATGCATTTGTCATCAATCCCATGGAAAAACAATCGTAATTCATCAAGTAATGAAAATACAATATTTAATTGAATGATCCTAAATATATGAAGCTTTGTATTTATTTCCTATTCAAAATGAAGCTATAATTCATTACACATATTTCATAGGTAACCTTACACCAATCATTGATGAGTGCAAACTGATGTTTTTTCATAAGAATTGTAAAGGTATTATTTACACCTTGAATTTTCAACGGGTTTTCTGTTATTTCTCAATCATGACAAGGTGCACACATCGGATGGGTTCTCTTGGCAGGGGAAACTTCCTCCATGGCACCTGGCCCAGGGATCATGAAGCATCTTATGGTAATCTAACAACCAAGCTATATGATAAACGTGATGACTTTAAGTTTTCTATCGGCAACTTCCCTTACTTATGCAGCAATATACCTTCATCACCTGCATACGGAGTATATATATCTCAGTTGATTCGATACGCAAGAGCGTGCTCTACGTATGACCAATTTCTTAAACGAGGTAAATTATTGACAAGCAAGTTGATGAAACAAGAATATCAACAGTCTCGTTTAAAGTCATCATTTCGTAAATTCTATGGTCGATACAATGACCTTGTCAGCAAATACAGTTTATCATTGAGTCATATGCTGACTGCCGTTTTTCATACCAATTGTTAACCCATTATTTATACACTGAATTGACGACGGATTTTTTCCGTTATTACCTGATCATGACAACGAGCACACGGCGGATGTGACCGGTCGACAGGGGATGCTCACTCCTCCATTGCACCTTATCCCACCTGTGATGTTTCGGAGGTCCGTGTTTGCTCTGCTCTTATTTTGTATATTGTTTAATGGACGTTGATATTGAATACTGTTCGTTATCTCCATATCCTTCCTTAAGCTAAAGTCAAAAATGCATATGGTGCTGAGATTCTTTCAAAGTTAAACAGTCCAAACCGAAAATGCTCTCCAATTTTGTATCACCAGTCTGCTGTCATTTGCAAATTTTGAGTTTCATTTATCTAGTTTTGAACTTTTTATACATGATTGAAATCTTTACTAAAGTGTAAGTCTGTTTCATGATCCTGGGGCCTTATCCCACCTCTGATATTTTGAAGGTCCGTGTTTGTTCTACTTCCATTTTGTATTCTTTAATGTATGTTTGAACTTGAGTACAGATCATTATCTTCTTATAATCAACCCTATGATATATAACTATTTTAATTGGAGTTTGACGTGCTCAACTCTTGTATCGAAACTGGAAACAACAAATAATATAAGCATTTATATTGACCTAAAATAAGGTTTGTTATTGATAAATAAACAATTATTACGCTACAACAAAATCTCTAAGAAGTTGTCTTTGCTAAGTAAGTTTTTAATAGATTTTTAATTTTCAATCATAATTTAATTGTCAAGCTAACAAAAATTTCAACTCGCCATGTAACTGATGCTAGTCTCTTCTGCCAGAGTAGAACGTGATACATGTATCACGGAAATTAATATATATCATTTTAATTTTGCTGAATAGTTTTCAAACGGAAGTAATAAGTCATAAAAGAGGGAACCTTTTTGGACAATTCCCATAGCAGAATATTTATTTGTTGAAAGAATGCAGAGAGTTCCCTGCTCGACTAAATTTTGTATGCTTTTGATATCTTTTATTATGTACGAACCATTTCTACAATGTAAAGCACAAAAAGGAATTTGTGACTCTTATAGGTATGTTCTTGTAACTGTTCTTTTGAATTTGACTAAGGTAATTGTCTGGATGTCGTCGTCTTTAATTCTTAACTCAATACAATTCTAGTTCTAAGTTAGTTATTATTTTGCACATGCTTTTGTATTGCTCCTCCAAATCGTCGTTTAATTGACACCCTTTGCTTTCTAAGGTAACGAGTCCACATTTCAATTTTACATCACTGTAGTTTACATGAGAAGCAAAACGTCTATACATATAAATGCATTTATAAAAATATAGAAAATGTCTGAAATATTCACGTTCTATCTTTGTTATACACAACTTTTTACCATTTATAGATGTAACATATAACAATACCCGGTACCGTGGAATCATTTAGAAGTTTAGGGATAATTTTCATGTATTGCCAAATTTTTACAGGATCGAGAGGACGCATTTCCGTGTATATACTTATAATTTAATATTAGTTGTAAGATGTCATTTGATCGGGTAAAAGATCCAAACTATTTTGTATAACATCACTTGCCTACGCCACAATGAGTTAAACAAAAACATATTACTCCGCTTGACGTTAACTTTTAAAATATACTAAATCTGAAGCCTTAATTTTTCAGGAGAAACAATCCCCCATTGTCTACACCTAAATTAAATTATAAGGAATGAAGCTGATTTCAACTTATGCTATGAAGGATATGGAGATAACGAACAATATTGAATATCAAAGTCCATAAAACAATACAAAATGGGAGCAGAGCAAACACGGACCTCTAAAACATCAGATGTGATTTATAAAGCGTAAACTGCCCCAAGTTATGTTATATCCTATAATAAAAGTTTAAATAGGCTTATTCCTTAACTATCTTCAAAAGATAAGTATCTCGAATCATTTTGAAGAGATTACAGGTAATTAAACCTTGAATAAATATTTTCGTTGTGGAAGTGAGTTTGTGGATGAAGGGTTCCCACGAATTTGGCGAATTTTGTGCCACTACAAAAATATCAAACAGTTCATATCAAAAGTGCTTTGAGGAATAAAATCATCCAAGGTCATTATCTCCTTCATAAAATCCATTCGATATATGTACATACATGTACTTCTACTAGTATTATGTGTGCTATTAGAACATCATATTATCATTTCAGTGATCCACGATCAAGTATGATTTGAATTTGATAGTTAGTTTAATATAATGACTAGTAGATTGTGTATCATTACAGACAGACAATAACCTGTTGTGACGGATATAAGTGGAATGAAGCGAGGAAAGCATGTATAGGTATGCATTTTTTTCAATACATATTTTCTGAATCAAATTCTGATATGCTTATGATATCAAACAATAAACAATGCAAACAATTTTAAAAATGTGATATAAAAGATGTTTTTCGTAACACTTTCATAATAAAGTGGTGAAATTTTCTATTAAATGCTGTAAACCATGAACATAGCTTTATATTTTATGTAGAATGCAGTCCAGGGTATTATAGAACAAACTGCACAGAAAAGTGTCCTTATCCAGGGTATGGCAGAGGATGTCTACAGAAATGTGAATGTGAGAGATCGTCTTGTAGTTTCAGTCAAGGATGTATAATTTACGGTATATGATATTTCAGCTGATGTAAAATTTTTAGTTTTAATGTTGTGGGAAAATTATTAATGATTTTTATAGCCCCAGTTGAAGGGAAATGGGTGGAATACTGTATTAACAAATGTATGTACATGTCTGTCCGTTTGTCTGTATGGCTGTCCGTAAAAAATCATAGTTGTCGCAGTAACTACTAATTGCAGCTGAAATTTAAGCAATCTTCTTAGGCATGCGATATAGTAGTATTCTTGTTGTACCAATCTGACGTCACGTTCCTGATTTCCTGTGCGTGACCAGTACAAGATATTGTTGCAATTTCTCAGCAACATTTGATCACAGATGACTGAAATCTGATTACATTATGTTATGTTTGTTTTGGAATGTCATATGTTGGTATATATTTTTGATGAAGCAAATGTCAACTTTCCGCTTGTTAATGCATTTGTCTACCAAAGAGCTAAATGCAGTATATTGCATATCTTTGCCAGCAAAGAAGTCAAATTTAGAAAAGTTCTTGAAATGTGCTGAATTCTGTATATTTTATGAGAAATATGAATTGACAAAATATATTACAATCTAGTTTATTGACAATTTTTGTTTTACGACGTCACAAACTAGTCCGAATTTACGTAACTTTTTAGAAGGAGGACAAAATGGACAAAATTTCAACAATTTTAGCTTTAACATTTATAGAGTGCAAGTTTGCTCAGGAACAATATTTACATATTTCATTGATATTATCATTCTACACATTATATCAAAATATTCACCCTGATCAGACCTGCGCTCTGTGACTTTTACTAAAAAAATTGACGTGAAATATATATATTTTTCTGTAGATATCATGGAAATGTTTAAATTTACGTAATATTTGTGACGTCATTTCAAACATATGATGTCAGTACTTATGAAAATGTTCAGTACTTTGAAGTCAGCATATATTCCCTTGTTAACAAACGTAATAAAATATTTCTCCGTCAAAGTTTGAATTTGGGGGCAAATATTGGTCATCATCGAATAAAGTTCTTTGTTGCAGTTTTCTTCAGCAAACAATCAAGACAGATGTTTGAAATTATAATACATTAAAATGGTGGTATTACTACAGTGTAGTAAACATTGGCCTACAGCCCTCTTTTTCTGTTCCAGCTTCTACATACAACTCGCCATCACACACGCCTATTGATCGTCTTGAAGATCAGACTTTTTTAGATGAAGGTTGGTGTATATGACAACAAAAGGAGGAATGTTATTTATGTTGTTTTCATTCTCTTCCACTGTCAAACTTAAAAATTTTCAACTCTTTAATTCTTTCAGGCTTCTTGTGGAATTACAGTAAACAAAAAAAGTAATTATCTTATTCGTGAAAGCTTTTTTTGGTTAAAATAAGGTACAATGCGTAGAAGGTTAACAAGCAAAGTTTTAGTAATGAAAAGCAAAATTCATGCAATAAATTTAGCTAGATTAATGAATGCACAAGTATTAATACAAATAAAATAGTAACCATGTAAAAATATAAATAATTGACGTCATATTTAAAAAGGTTATTTTTTGTCAGTAATACTGTCCTAGTTAAAGTGAACGTTTTAAATTTATAATTCAATGTTTGATACATGATACTTGTTCTGGTGTAAAAAGATTTTTATGAATAGAAAGAAGAATTCTCTACATCCGTAAGATTTATTGCAAATAAAAGAAGTTACAGAATGTTCGATTATCGGTAGTAAATAAAAATGTGTTCGCTTGTAATATGGTTTAACATAGAGCCATACATTAATTTTAACAATCTGGAACTTTCATTTGGACGACAATCTTTGATAAAAAAAATTGTCCTGCTACATGTATAGTGATAACTGCTGGGTCTGTATATGAGCATAAATTGAAAAAAAAAATATTGTATTCCAATGAAAGCTAATTTTTAATAAATACTAAATTTAGGATTGAATTGAGGACCTACTTCAAGAAGATTGTTGAGGTACAGTAGTCCAAACCAAAACGAGAAAAAAATAATCAGATTCGATTTCTTCTTTTTTTTTTTTTTTAGTTTTTATTTTTATCTAAAAAAATGGTATTCATAACAAGTATATGTGTTGGCTATCTTTGTTTTTTTTTTTTTTTAATTTAGGTCTTGATGTCAAAAACAATATATAACATACATTTTTCGAATACAGAAAGTGCGTTTTTTAGGGATTAAAATGAAACATGTTTAATGTTACACGTACATCACACATGCATGTTTTTAAATGAATTCTAGACTTATACATACAGAGTATTGTAACATATGAAAAATAGAGTTGTAAAATATAGTTGTACAACAAATATGCATGTAGAATTTGCATCTTGGGAATGTAGCATTCAATTTTGCTAATTAAAATATAAACTCGACCATGGTGTGTTAAATGCAACAAAACAACAGAAAACGTTATCAAACAATAATGACGACCTTGTTCTGGACATTAAAAAGATGATCATCGATCTTAATTTGTAAATTTTAACATGTCACTAAGTTTATCCTGAAGAGGGATATATCCTGTAAACATTTGATATTCATTTCCTTTGTCTGTGCTTATTAATAACTACATGTTGTCACAACAAGGACAAAAACAACCAAGCCATTCAGACTTTGATTTCTGGAATTCCCATCGATATACTTTCCTGAAAAAAAAATCACTGGGAAAAATATGTTCAGCGTGTATTTAGGGAAATTGTAAAAAGATATTCCAATTTGTTTTATTTCATTGCTTTTTCTTTAATAAGCAATGCCTTTTCACTTTCTTTTTTTAAGAATCTGTTATGTATTTACAAAAGCAAATAAATAAGACTACCTTATCTTCCTCTTTAATTAGACTTTTGTGTTTGATTTCATTTTTTTGAATAGGAAATTAAAACAAACTTAAAAATCCACATTGATATAGATTTGCTTTTATTTATACGTATTCTAGATTCCCTGTAAATCAAACAAACAATATGGATGTTATTTTGTTTGTTAAATATTGCGCTTCTGGCCGCGATGACCAATTCGCTGGGGTTACCACAGGGCTACCTCACAATCAACAATCAATACAACAAATGTGACGCCCTAATCGGGCGGATCATGCACTGGGTAGGTCACAAGTGCATGAACGTCACCAAGTCATTTATCAATCTAATTCAATCAATCAATTGTTAATCAATCAGCCAATCAAACGATTCAAATATCAATCAAGTCACTTACTTGTCAATCAATCAATCAATTATTAATCAATCAATCACTCAGCTATGTTAAGGACCGATATGGAAAATGTGACCTTTGCATCGTTTTAATATGCATTACATCTTTTACAAAATTATAACAAAGCAACTGAATACTTGTAGAACAATGTAATATCGCTATCAATAATTAATAGGACTGGACCGTAATTATTACCAGTTATATCGCATATATCAGCTGTTTGTCACGTGACTTGTATAAAAATAAAATTGTTAAGCTGAATGTAGGAAATGATAATAGTACAAGGGCATACGCTTGTTTTTCAAGAAAAAAATTGATACACATTAAAAGATGTTTATTTCCTCTACCCAAGAAGTGCTGGGAGCTAGTCAGTGCTGTTTGCGAAGTACTGAAAAACGTTGCCGAAAATGTTTCTATTAGCTAAAAATTTCCACTTCGCTTATATTCTTTTATAGATAAAAATAACGTTGTGCAGACCAGAATCAGCTCCCAGCACTTTTTAAAATATACACTATGTAAACAATAAATATTCCAAATTTCAGATCAAACAAAATAATCTATGCCCTTGCACTTTTGATGTAAATCACGAATACGCTCATCGTTTTAGTGATATTCCTTGTCCATGTGCAGCTCCATTGCTACTCGATAAATTCATATTCTATATAAATTGTATTAAAAAAAATATTTTTCTTTTAGTTTTAATGATTAGGTTTAAAAATTAGCCATGGTATCATATTTATTTAAGCATTCTTGTAATTATTATACCAGTGAATCTAGTCCTCAGGATCACCATTGCTGCGTCATGTCAAGGCTGATGACGTCAGATTCAATGAAAGACTTTCTTCTATTTCTCGACTGTATTGCTATCAAGTATTGCAATTTTACAAAATTTTATAAATAATCGATAAAATAAATAAATTCAAATTGTTATTTACGCATGATCATGTCGTTAATTATGTTCCCCAAACGGAGTTTGGGAACATATTGTTTTTACTCTGTTTCTTATTAAGGTCTTCCGTCTTCACGGAAGACCTTATAGTTATTCTACTGTTTCTTATTATTATTCTTTTTATTTTTTTTCCAAAATTTTGTGCACGCGATTTCTCGAAGACTACTGGATGGAATTACATGAAATTTTCAGAAACGATGTGTCGTAACATGAACTTGATCTATCTGAGCGATTTTTTGAAAATTCTTATCTGGTGCCAAGTTACGGGACATTTCCTGATTTTAAAATGACATTTTGTCTGTGGTTAATCTCAAGAACGGTAAAAGATATCAATGTGAAACTTTCAGGGATTATAGATCGTGATAGATACTATCCAGGACGCGACCTTTCGTTCGTCGTCAATACTTCCTGTCGTTAGGAGATGCGAATTGAAAAAAGCGTATTTTCTAACTTTTTTGTTTTCCAATAGTTTTTATTTATTTTTGGAATATTAATAGAGACCTTTCTCTTGATGCTTACTATATAAGTTGTTTG